TTTGTCCTGTCTGCCTTTGGGAAACCAGTGCCTGGGGCTTGTTGGGCAGCTCTGAGGGGAGGATGTTGGGTGTGCTCAGCCCTGTTCAGAGCAGGGGCTGCCTCACAGCCTGCAGCTCCTCCTGCCTCTGCGCTGGGAGCTCGGATACGTCTGGAGGAGACGGGGTTGGGGTTCTGGCGCTTGGCAGGGCCGTGGCTCATTAGCGAGCAGACTGGTGGGCCGGTACTTGGGCATGAGCTGGAAGAGCAGACACGCCGCCCGACCTGCCCACCACTCGTCTGCTGTTCCGTTCGCGGTAAGTGGATGCTGATGCCAAGCAAGGAAAGTCTGGATTTCCATCCAAACGACTGCAGTAAAGGGAAAATGTGAAGCCTGCAAAAACCTTGCGCACAGCACCTCAGTACCTGCCAGCTCTTCCTAAACGGTAGAACTTCTCCGTGCTGGCACACCCCTCCTCATGTTTTCGTGTCACCAGCACGGGGTCTGACGTTCCCTGGAGTTCCTGGCTTAAATAAGAACTGGATCTGAAGCCTGATCCAGTGAGCAACTTGAAATTCAGGAGCTAAATGTTTCTCAGCTTAGTCTCGGTAGCTTTCCCCGCTTCTTGCCGATGACATTCGGGGCCGCGCGACGCTTTCTCGTTTACCCCTTTCCTTCTCAGTGGTGGGGCAGAACCGGGATCCCAAGAAATCCTGTAATTATTAATGGTTTGCCAGAGCCGTCCTAACTTTGAGTAGCTGAAGCAGGTTTTTTCCTCCTCTGACCCCCCCAAAAGGAGGTGTGTGTGGAAAATCACCCCCTCTACCTTTTGTGTCTCCGCAGGAAGGACGCGAGCCGGATTATTCGGAATACAAGGAGTTCAGACTGACTGTGGAAAACATAGGTTACCAAATGCTTATGAAGATGGGCTGGAAGGAAGGCGAGGGGCTTGGCTCGGAGGGACAGGGGATTAAAAACCCCGTGAGCAAGTAAGCAGAGCTCTACCGTCGGTTTAGCCCTTTCGTCTCGGGCTGGTAGCGGCAGCTCCTGCCCCGGCCCGCGGGAAGCAGCTGCAGCGAGCATGACTGGAATTCCTCGCTTGGACAGAGCGTGGAATCCTCACAGCGAAGGGGGAAAACGGTTCCTGCCTGTTTTGGGGTTCCCTCCCCCCACGGCCTGGGTATCACGGGCGGGAGGAGCGATCCCAGCCGAGAGCGTTTTGCGTCTCGTCTCCGTCGGCGCCGTCCGCTGTCCCCAGCTCTAAAACAAAGGTGCCACTTGCCTGCGCTTCACCTCTCCCGGGGCACGTGAGGGTTAAGTCGTGTCTTTCGCGACTTTTGAAGTGTTGAAGAACGTGCCTGTGGCAGCTGAAGCGCCGTCGGTGCCCGCTAGCTGGTCCCTGGTGTGCGGCGGATGGGAGGTGGTTATCCGTGTTGGGTTATCCCGACTGATGCAGGCACAGGCCTGTGTTTGGGAGATGTTTGGGTCCAGGTTGGGGCGCTTCGTGACCGTGCAACCGCCACCTCGTCGCTCTGTGGTGCAGAGGGTTTCTGATTTGATCACCCTTAACGGGTGTGTGTAGGGTTTCTGTATCTCTCAGAGCTCTACGAGGGTTCTCTCTGAAAACAGATGAGCACCTCTCTTTTCAGGTGGATCACCTGTTGGTGACGTGCCAAACTCCAAATACTGAGGCTGGGAAATACCTGAATTGTGTTTTTAGCGTTAGACCCTTGAGAGGAGGTGTCTCTGCAGGGCGCTCCTGCTCCTCTTCCGCAAGGAGATCTCTGGCGAGGGGCTTAGCGGTTCGGAGAGGCCCTGGGACACGCAGTCGCTGTGCGAACCACGAGGCTTGTGAACAGCAGGAGGGCAGGTTCCTTCCATCGCAGGGTTGTGATGGCTGCGTTGCCGTTCCGGCTGCTAAAGGTTAAGCAGAGATGTTGACGCCGGCGCTTCCGTCTGGCAGCGGCGAGCGTCACGGGTTGGGAAGGGCGGCGTGGAAGCGTGGCGGATGCAACGAGCTGCTCGGTGTCAGCTGTCGGTCCCGCTGCCGCGCTGTGAGCGTGCCCGGCCCTCGTCTTGTTCCCGGTGCAGGGGAAGCTGAGCTGTCACATCTGCTTCTTCCCTCTTTCCGAACAGGGGGACTACGACTGTGGATGGAGCTGGTTTCGGCATCGACCGTCCCGCCGAGCTGACCAAGGAGGATGATGAGTACGAGGCGTTCCGCAAACGAATGATGCTCGCCTACCGCTTCCGGCCAAATCCCTTGGTAAGATGGTGCTGGAACCAGGCCAGACGGAGCGACAAACCCGCTGGGGCTCCTGTGGTGTTGCTGGGGGGGTTGGGAGCGCTCCCAGTGCCGCTGGGAAACTCTCCTCTCGTGCCGCATGCGCTCACCGCCACCCAAATGTCCGTGGATGCGCCGTCCCTCCTCCTTTTTGGTACGAGCCCCTGGGTTACGTGTACCCGGGGCGTAGGGAGTACAGACTCTGCGCGCGACGGCAGCGCCCGGGTTGTCCGCCGATCGATGGCTTAGTCTGAATAACGCCCCTAAGCCTGCGTTTGCCTGCTGCCCTCAGCCTGCCGGCACACCGACGCGTGCCGCTTCCGAGCGGGAAGCTCGGGTGTCGGTCAGAAATGCCACGTTTCGGTGGCTTTTTCAGGTGATGAAGCTCTTTGTTGTGTGAAGACAGCAGTTCTGACTTTCTCTTGTTATTCCCCACAGAACAATCCGCGACGACCTTACTACTGAGAGTGTTGGGGGGGGACAGCGTATTTTCCAAACAATCGTGATCGGACTGTGAAATGTGACGGAAACCGCGATACCGTTCTCTCACCCGGTGACCTCGTACGAACTGGCTGAAGTCACGGCACCGCCTCGCCCGGCAGAAGGGCCTGCACGCCCGCTCGCTGCGCTCCCCAGCGTCGTGACAGCCGTGTCGGAACGAGGCC